CCGCAATGCTAACATGTCCCGTCGGAGCTGTAGACGCGTGATGCTCATCTCCCTGAAGAGAGGGAGAGGGACACCAAGGGAGAACGGTATGAGGCCATGGACGCGCCACAAGAACACAATCTGCACATCATCGAGTGGTCCCGCGAGCTTATCCACACCTGGATTATACTGGCTCTGCCTGTCAGGTGCGAGTATATCCGCACCACGTATGTCAGTCTAGCGAGCTCAAGTGGAAGGCGACCGAAGCTGATGTCAATGCCGAGGATGGTGTAAGGTGCGGTGCAGGCCTCCTTCCTACAGCCGTCGTACTTCCTCACCAGGGTATTGCAACGTGTGCTGGTGTATGTTGTGGAAGTGTCCACAAGCGTACTCGTGGACACTGCTAGATCACCGCGGCTACGCGTAGCGCGTGAGAAGGCCGCCGCCACACGCCGCAAGTCCTCCGCGCGCGTATTAGCGTCTTCCTCGTCTCTTGACCACCACCTCGTTTGCAGCTGACTTCGCAGACTTATTGCACCTACGCCTACCACACTATCCGTCACGAATTCTTCGACAGGCCTCGGCGCCGTGCTTCCGCCTCTCTACCCTCACCTCGGCACCGAAGTGCCTCGAGGCGTGCCTTCAAGATCGGCCGTCCACGCTCGCGCTTGCAACAACCGCGCCGAAGGTGAAAGGATAGCGGCTCTGGCTTTTTTGACTCGCTCACCCTCGTACGATACGGCATCAACAATATACGTACCTGATCCACCCTTCCCCCCATCTCGGACCCACTATCTGGCGACCGAACGACGTCCGGCCCCTCTCCCCTCGCTGTTCTTCATGCACCTCCCCCTCCTCGTAGACGTGCTTGGGCCTGGCAACCGCATGCACGCTTTATGTGGGCCAGAGCACGAGGATGAGTTGAGAAGAGCTGGAACAAGACGGTCTCCAGCGAGATGAGGATCCCGGCGTCGCGAGGCAGCCCGCCCGCCCCTGGATTTCCATACGGTCTCTTTTTCGTGCGCGTTTCTACACTTTCTGCATGTGTTTCGTACTGTACCGCTTGGCGCTGTCAGTAGGGCAGGCGAGCTTTCCCGGCCTCTTAAACGTCGTGGCACCGAAATGACAGGCTGGGCTTCTTTTCCCTCCCTCTTTGGCCCGAGTCCAATCCTCAAGCGCTCCAACGAGCTATCTGAAGAACATCGCGCTCAAGCCACCATTTCTACTCTCCTGATTCGCAACGCCGCGCGACCCTTGTCTTCGACGCGGAACTTATTGCCCGGCTTCCTTGGCCTCTTACGCTCTCACAGGACCGTTTTCGCGGTTTAGCTCTTCGAGCGGCTCACACGGTGCGTTCTGCCCGTACCGCTCCAGTGCTTACATTATCGTACAGTATTTGCTGTACGGTTACTCGCACGCCCGGCCCTCAAGACCGACCAAAACACGCTACCTGCGCCCCGACGACCCAGCCACAACGTGACAGCGACATACATGCACGTCTTCTTGTATGTGAGCTCCTCTTCAATTGAATGGAAACGAGGATGAATGCGGACAAGGGCGCGAAAGAGCATGATGTCGGACTTCCCCAGAATTTGTGACAAGCTGGTTTGCTGAGCAGTAGCGAAAAAACAAAACGCTGAGCCGCGCCCAAAAAATCTGTCGGGGGGTTGCGGACACCCGAACAAGGCCAAAGGAGCGATCCGTACCCCATTGTTGTGCCATGGGGGGAGGTGAAGATTTGCGAGAAAGTAGTCCAAAGTGTGGGCGAGGCAAAGTCACCAATAAGAACATCAACAGCTGCCGCAAAGGCGTCGGAGGCGCCCTTAAGCGTGCCGACGACGTAGGACATGTCGCGATTTAGCGAGAGCAGCTAGCTAATTGTATGCCCGAAATTCTCGTGCGGTGCAGCTTCATCCACAGAAAATCCCTTTCCGGAGCACACGGGAATGCGTTGGTGACGTCGCCTTCGTCGACGTAAAGCGGCTGTCCGGCGCGTGTGCTCTTTCAATAAGCCGTCGCAGGATCTGAGCATTCATTTTGGTACGATAGCCTTATATGAACCCATTCTGTGTAGGCGGTAACGGGCTCTGACAGTCAGACTACTATCCGGGCCGCCCATGCACAAGGGGTGTCAACATCTTGAGGGCAATAATCTCCACTCCCGCAGTCCTGTAGCTCTCCGCCTCTTCATGTCGCTTGTCATACTTGACGATCACCACAGCTTTTGTAGTGAGCCACAGGTTTGGCGTGTCTGTCGCTTCAATACATCGAGACAATAATAGGGAGGCCAGCTCGTCATTGGGAATTCGCATGAAGTCGGATGCAGAGAGGTCATCGCCTCAGCTGTACGAGACTCATACCGATCTCGGATATGTTTTGTAATCCTTACGTTTCCTATGCTGGTCTAGGACCCTGAGAAGAAGCCGTCCGGTGCAATATCGGGTGCAACGGAGGTGAGGTTCGTTGCAAGTCGTTCGGTAAGAAGAGCTTCAGAGCGGTCGAGCACGGCAGGTGGCTTGGTGCGTCTAATCATTCTATGCACTGCACAAATTAAGGGGATGATAACCGTCAGATAAACTTTTATCTGAAGCGGAAGCGCGTCGTTGTCTTTGTTGATAGTCTTCCCAAACTTGAATAGGCCCAAGGCGCGAGCGGCTCTCAGCAGACAAGCTAGTTTCTGGGAATGTACATAGTGAATCCTGTTCTGCCCCGCAACCACTTTCGGGTATCATGAAGGCGGGTGAAGCGGTGAGACACTTTTGTCGATCTGGTGGCGACGGCAGGGACTGAATGCTGCGTTAGACGCAACGCGCGCGCGAGACTGTCAACCTGATCACATGCGTGCGCGCCTTGCCAAATCTCCGCAATCACTCCCCCGACTCATCTTAACCACTCATCAAGCGCTGAGATCGGCACCATTACCAGTCTCTCAGCCAATCACGACTATGAAGAACTCATTTCATATGTGAACGATGTCGGTGCTGTACGACTCCTCTGTGCGCTCGCCCTCCAAGGGCACGCAGCTGCTCGCAGCAGCGCAGAAGCTTGTCTCGGCTTTGAGGTCATCGTGGGACGCCGTTCTCCTCCCCCTCACAGCGCTCATGTCAAGGATGTGAATGGTGAAGCGCGCAAAACTCTTGATACTTCGCTTACATACGACGATGATGATTTCTCGCCTTCGACTTCGACTATCTCCGCGATCTGTACATCCGAGGGAGTGATCTACATCCCCCCTTGCTCACACTCGCTGCTCCCGCCGCGAAGGTTATGACATCCTGCTCGGTCTTTTGGCGCCCTGTCATCGTCATGAGTGACCTGAATGAGCGAATAGCCCACTCTCAGCCGTGGCCGCAGGCGCACGCACGACAGTCTGTGGACGCGAAGACAGGCGGCAACGGTACCGCACTCGGTGCGCTCTGCCGCGCCGCGGAACTCACATACTCAATGACGCGGAGGGTTCATGCCTGCGGCTTTCACCCCATTCAACTCGCGCACGTCCGCTGACAGGGACGCTGCCGTCGTGGACTATGCCATCGCATCACCCACAGCCATCCCGTTTGTTCTCGACCTCCACATCCTCAACAGGAAAGGCGCGTCTGATCACGCACCCACCGCACTGCGCCCAACGCTCCCATGTCACTGCCTCGCTCCCATCCTAGCACCGAGCAAGCTTGTTCTCGCACCTAAAGCCTCCCTTTCCGTCCATACAGAGCTCGACCGCAGAATCGTCTACATCATCAAAGCTGCTCGGGCCGCCAACGACGAGTCCCGCCTGCTTGATTTGTATAGAACAATGTCCGGCTTGTTCAAGAAGACGATTGTCTACACCGACGGATCCAGCCACGGCAATGGCTCGGACACAATAGCCGCTGGTGACATTGAGGCTTGGGTACCCGGATCACAGACGAACAACCGCGCCGAAGCCTACCGCATCCTCCTCGCACTCACCAGTGCCAACCTCAACCGCGACCTGCGCATTAAGTGCGTACTCTACACCCACCTACACTTTCCAACGCTCATCAGGGCTAGGCCCGATCTGCAGTGGGTCATTGGCTCGCTCACATTCTGAGCAGCCGAACGAACGGCTACCTGGTGGCACTGCAAGCACGGCAACATCCTCTGGAAGATCTCCCGCTTACTCAAGGCAGGCATTGCATTCACCCACTTTCATCACGTCTGCGGTCAATCCGGCGAGGAGGGGAACGACGGTGTAGACTCCTGCGCCAACGAAGGGTCGCGACAACCCGCGGTCGAGCCCTTCGTAGCTGCCGCCCTGCCGACACTCTCACACCTCCTCACGGCACAAAACGTACGTCTGAAGATCGCAACCTCCCTCGCGAACCCAGATGATGATCCCGAGATGCAGTTGCTCGGCAGGCAGGCTCAGTGGTTCAATGGCGATAAAGCCCACCGTGAACACGAGAAGGCCGCTCGCGCACAACGTCAAAAACGAAACTTTCTGCTCAACAGCCGCCACTATGGCAGCCCGTGGTGGAGTGCTTGGAAGGATCTCATGGATAAGAAGAGGGTGGCGTTTAACGTTCCCGCCTCTCGACTGCAGCCCGTCTTCGAGGAACGCATGAATCCGCCCGCATCCATCCCACCCTCCTTCTACGCCGCGGCTGCTACCTAGGCTCACATCTTTGTTGGAGACTTGTCTACGATCAACCAACTTGAACAGCCTGCTGACGCATTTCGTCGCCCATGGTCCCTAATCGAACATCTGAAATTGAGGATTGGTGAGGGCGGCCGCAGAGGCGCCCCAAGTACAGATGAAGTCACGCGCTCACTAGGCCCCAACATGAACAGCGAAGCGCTCCTACAGCTGTTCAATCTCTGTATAGAGCTATAGGACACACCCACCATCTGACTGCGGACGACAATCATCGGCATCCTGAAGCGCAACCTCCCAAACTACGATCCCAAGAGCTACCGTACCAAAGACCTTGAATCAATTATACTAAAGCTCCTCACCCTCGTGGTCTACATTCGTCTGTATGCGTGGGCAGGACGCCACAGCATTCTCCCCCCGTTCCAAAACGGTTTCTGCGAGGGCGACCACACGAATACAAATGTGCTTATCCTCCGGGCCATTATGGAGAAGTACCGAAAGCTGGGAGAACCGGTCTACGTCGCCTTCGTACACATCAGCAACGCTTTCCCTACAACCAACCGCGACATCCTCTGGATCGAGCTACACAAGCGCGGCGGCTCTGCCCTCATCTGTGACTGGTTGCGATTGCTTTACACCAACACGCGCTGCATTGTACGTGCAGGAGGTGAAACATAGGAGGAGCTTGAGAGCGAGATCAACGTACTCGTCGGGGACCCGTCGTTCCCGACTCTCTGAAACCTGTTCCTGGCGGACTGCGACCCGCCCGAGCACGAAGACAACCCATTTCTCAGCTGCACTCGAGTACACCACTTCAAGAACGCGGACGAAGGTCTGCTAATATCACTGAGCCTGCATGACCTCCAGGCAAAGCTAGGGTACCTCTTTAATCACGCGGGTCGGAATCGGCTCCTTGTCAACGCGATGAAGACGTACCTCATGCTCTATCTTCACCAACCTACTCATGCGCCCGCTCACACTCTACCTCGGGGAGACACAGCTCGCGTAGGTGCGCGAGGTAACCTACGTCGAGGTTTCCTCTGCGAGCGCCAAGGCGAGCATCTGCGTCCCGCTGTACAAGGTCACCAGAAACAAAGCGAGCTGGATGGCATGGGCTATTATGGGTGTCAACTCAGTCCTGAAAGATATGCCTCCTGCGGGCGCTCGCCTCCTCTACACGGCGCAGGTCGACGCGCTACTCTCCGCAGCAGCCGACGTAGTGCCCGACATGGACTGTAACATCGCGATGCTTGAGAAGGTTTAGATCTCTTTCTTGCAGAGGATTCTCGGCTTCTCCTCGCACTCAATGAAACTGCCGCTCTTCACGGTGTCTGGTCTTATCCCATTGCGGTACCGACGCGCGACATTGGCCCTGCGCTACCTTCGCTACGCCCTCGAACAGCCCCCGACCCGCCTGCTGCACCACGCACTCGAAGAATCCCTGGCACTCTACAACGCGGGACACTCGGGGTGGTTAGGCGACCTGCACAACGCTCTCGGGGCGCTACCACGCGCACTCACTCTTCTGGCGGCGGCGACGCTCCGCCTTCCGCGCGCTGTAGAGAGGATCATCAGCGAAGTCGATAAGGTCATGCGCGCGCAATTCCTGGACACCATCCGGAAGGCTCTACATGATGCTCGACAGGCTCGAGCCGCAAAAGCGTGACTCGCCGAAGAAATCACTGCTTCAGTTCCGCCACTACCTCCGGCTTCGCGACAAGGACGACCTCAAGGCCTTCATCCGCGTCTTGGCCAGCGAACTCCCTTTCGCGCTGGAGAGATTCCGGTACACGCACAAACGCAACGGCACGGATCACAGAAAGGTCTATCGCCATTTGAGGGGCTGCCCCATGTGCTCGAAAGCGGTGGAATTGCCCGAACATGCGGTGCTCATATGCAATAAGCATCCCGGCATGGAGGCAAAGCACGCGGCTTTCTTCGCGAAGCTGGCAAGGCGATTACCCGCCTTCGTACCACCCGCGACTGACGGTGACGCTGTGGCCACACTCAAACTCCTTTTGTTGTTCGCCAATGTGCCAACGAGACCAAATCCATTAGAGCACTCTTCGAGATCTTTAGCACTGTAGAGCTAGTCTGGCCGCCAGAATATACCGCTCCATGCTGGGCTCAATCTATGACTGTTCCAGAAATCGAAACTATAAGTAGCTCGTCTACCCGAGCGCGAGGTAGTACACTTTAAACGTAGTGCCGACTAACGCGCACAGCGCAGACTTGCGGCGTCGCAAAGCATACAAGAGTGTTCATGACCCAGAAGCTCGCGTACCGACTGACGTGCGTCCTCATCATCCCTTGCCGACACAAAAGCCAGCCAGATATTCGTGACTTTGATGAGGAAAGCAACCCGAGCAGCGAAAACAGCTTCATATTTTGCGTAGATGAGCACGGCGTGCAAAAATGGCACTAGTAAAGATCTCTGTCGACTGCGATTGACCTGATCTCATAGGTGGCGCTGTGGTGCAGACCTTGCAAGGTGAGCGCGTAGTCACTGGTAACCAGCCGTGAAAGCGCCTTACGGGCCTTGTGATTGCGCACTTTGAGATGACTTGATAGCGTCATATGATGAGGTCCGTGCGCGGAGGCGAGCTTACCTTCGGTTTCAGCCTATCCGCAACAGGTACAGGTGCGATGACGGATTGATCTGCGTTGTAAGCGGCCAGCACTCATGCATGAGTGATTTTCGACTCACTCAAGGCCAACCGAAGATCGGCAGAGACGAACGAAACTCTACGGCGCTTGTGAACAGTAATGAAGGGCCAGGGAAGCCATCTTAAAACGTCGCTTGCGAACGTACGGCTAGTATTGTGTAACACTCGTCCCTGGGATGCGAAACATAGTGAGAACCTAGAAGCTGTACGACCGTACAATGGCAATATGTTTCGAGCCAGCAAAGGAGCAAATGCTGAAATAACAGACAATGACACTGCGTCGTGGTGCGGAATAAGGGCCTCTGCCACTGCGTACGAGGCGTTTTGATAGCGGGGCAATCGCAAGCTCTACACCGCTTCGACAGAGGGATGTACACTGCGCATATAGGTGGAAGCCTCCATAGCTCGGTAACGCACGCAGAGAGGTGGAAATGGGGGTATATACGGGAAAGATCCCTAGTCCGTGCTCGCCGCCGCGCGAGTAGGGATCACCGCTCTATCTAACCTCTGCGGCCTGGATCTAACACATATCACTCGTCTCTTTCACTGCGATTCGTCCCTGGCGTATCGTATGACGCTCAAAATCGGTCACGGTGGTCCAAGGTGCAAGTCGCAGAACGTCCGATTCGAGGGTGAAAAGTACGGTACGTGGCAGGCAGGTGATTCCGAGATTTGTGTACTTGCATAAATGGCTACTGCAGGCCAATGTCTCAATCATCATGACGGATTATATTTTGTTCAATGCAGAAAATACATGAGGAAGCACATGTCCAAGAACATCAGTACCGCCAGCCTAAGAGAACAACCATTCAATATCCTTCCTTTCCTTCCTCATGGTGTTTGTCCGGATGAGATCATTCCATATATGCCGGCATGTCTCTGCACCCTCCCAGTCCGGTAGTCGAACTCGCTTGAGATTGTACCACGGACTTTTCTCCAAGACCAACTCTTTGATCATGTCAGAGACAACATGGAACATGTCGTTGGTGACTCCGTATATGACCAACGAACGAAGGTTTGGGAACGTCTCCGCGATCTGTCCGCAGCTGGACAGATGTCTCACTCGACCTCCCGCTTTCTCGATGAATGTTTCCGTGGTTCCAAAGTTGAGATGCTCGAGATGGCGGGAGTTCAAGGCGTAGCTGATACCAGACAGCAGGTCCTGAAAGAGATTATTGCTTTCTGGAGGATACCAGGCGCGGCCGTCAAGTTCCCATTCCTCCGCGGGATACCTCTTCACAAGTGCTTCTCCTTGAAAGCGAAACGTGAGGCTGTTTCGTGCAGTGCATCGCACAGGATTCCGTTCGGCCCAAACAGCATCTTCTGTGTCACCAAAGACGAAGCTGACAAACTGAGGTCCAGCGCGATCTTTCATGGAGCGCTCTTTTTCCACTTCATGATATTCGACCAGCACCGCTCTACAAGACATCCGAGCGGGCAGACAGTCCTGAGCTGCCATGATGGCAAAGTTCCTGAACTTGCCTACGCGCTGAGACAAGTGGTCCATTACGATGTCTGCGTGGATAGAGGTGCTGTCCGGGATGTCTATTCCTGACAGAATAAGACGCCAGCGTTCGAGGTAGTCGCATAGCAGGAAGAACCTTAGATTTGGTAGATGGATTATGGGAGACTGGTCGTCAATATCGTCGACGGCGTCTCGAAGTGCGGTTTGAACGACCAGCTCCTCGAGACGTGGACATTCACATAGCACCCCCAGAAAAAAATCGACTGGTAAGGCAACATTGTCACCTTGTGACGCGAGGTACAGTCTTCTTAAGCTCTTGCTGTAGGCTGTGCGTAACGTGTTCACCCCAGCAAATGAACGAAGCGACGGAAGTTCGAGCGCTTGTGGGCTATGCATTGCAGTACCGGTAGGCAAATCTTGCCGCGCCTCCACATGTTGTATGCGGTGATGAGGGGAATCTTTCAACAAGTCAAGGATTTGATCGCAGGGATATCGTTCGCCAAACGGTGCGCAGGGTAACGCAACACGTATATGTGTAGCACGTGCGACGCGCGGTAAGAGCATGGGGAGTATGCAGGAGCACAACCCGAACGCTGTTTCCAGTCGGAAGGGATATTTCAAACTATGCCCGGCCCATTCGAGGGAGTCCGGAAGGAATGCGGGGAATAATAGTGCGATCTGGGCCCAGAAGGGCTGGAGACCGATGAGGTGTTCCCGGAGTACACGACAAATAGCCAAGAGCGCGAGGATGGATGATCGATTGTACGGCGGGTGTTGCAAGGAGCAGTGTTGTGTCTGCCGGCTGAGCCTACCATCACGGCTTGTGCAAGGCAGAGCCGGGAGACTGGGGTCCCAGCGTGCCAATGGACAGGGAATAGTATCTCGACCGATGGACCCCGCGTACCCAGATGTACGGGGGTTCTTGAGTGGGGGGAGAAGGCTCGCTGGGAAGGGCAGCTGGCGATTGGCTTTGTCTTCATCGTCCAATACAGAGGTAACAACCTCAACGGCCACGTTTTGCCAGAGCTCCTTCGGCAGGGTAAGCAGCAGCGGTAGAGCCATGATAGCACGTGCCAAGCGCGAATTTGGCTCCAAACAACGTTGATGACTCCGCACACGACGTTGAGCAACTCCCAAGCCGGTAGCTTCGCAGTCTGACTCCCACCTCGTGTTCCTGCCGACACGTGTCCTCATCATTCCAAGCCGTTCACGTGCTTGCGCTAGCGCCCGGGCACGTTCTTACTGATCATTTTCACACGCCAGAGTTGTCTGTAGCTCCCCCTGACGCGTACAGTTCTCTCCGCGGTCGGAATTCAAAGTGCAATTTTGGTCCCCTCCCGTAGTACCCAGACTGAAAGTTGGTTAAAAGAAGCATGTAGCTATTAGAGTGCGAAATGCATCAGTCGAGCAATTACTTTGTTGGCAGACTCATGATCAAGTGCAATATACTCAAACCTAACGGTACAGTATACAATCGGGTTCAATCATGTGGCCTCATGTCCGTAGTGAGCAAGCAAGCACAACATCCATCTTTCTCCCGATTATTTTGCTACCAAAGGCTCACGTCTCCTAACCTGGCACAGTAGTGTTGAACTTCACCAGCTTTCGATACAATGCACGCTCATGCGGAACGCCACAGGCACGCAGCATTTCAACAGCCCCATGGGCCAAACGAACACGCTCGTCTTGGTTTACCTCGTTGCCCTCGAGCAGTACTTTCACTGAACGTGCCAGTCTCCCCTTTGGACCTGCGTTTTTGCGTGTACCTCTATTGCCAGTACCACCCCCGCTGAGATCCGCTCTCCCACTCTCGCTGGGTTCCGCCCTCTCACTCCGGCTGGGTCCGGCTACCCCACTTCCACTTGCGCCCCTTCCCTCTCCACTACTTAACCCTGAGCTCAAGCTCGCTTCTGGGCAATGTACTCGCCTAGTACTCTTTGTCTTTTCTTCTGCCTTTGCCTTTCCTTTGCCTTTTTTCTTTCCATCTGGTAGCATGAGAAGCGGTTCCAATACCTCAACTCTAAAGTGTCGAAGTGCGAGAGACGCGAGAGGGATAACTCTATCTGTGGGTGCACCAGCTTCTGCGGCGGCCACAGCATTGGTGAGCGAATCGGTATCTGAAAAGTTGCCATTCCATCCCCATCTCCTTAGTTCGCTGCCGTGGCGCACAGTCAAACATATTGCAAGCTTCTCCTGTGACTCTTTGTTCTTTATGGCCTTCGCGACGTAATCACGTATGTTGGCAAAACAAGAACAGCCACGGTCTTCCGTAATGGCGCTCTCCACATATTGTCTGATGGTATAGTCGAGAAGATGGCTAATGGCATTTGCTCCAGACTGGTACCGTAGAAAACACGGGACCAAGTACTGGAGCAGACGCTCACTGTCGTCATCCGGGACGTCCAACAGTGTCTTTCTCATCAACGTCTTGAACCATACGTCCAAAAGGTTGTAGAGTTTCGCACTCGCAGGTGCACCCCCGAACCGCGAATTGGCGATGTAGTCGTAAACGGCAGTGTATATGCCTGTATGGTATCCTGGATCGAGTTTTGGCGCCTTTTCAGGATCATTTGTGGACGCTTGCATAAGGTGTCTAACTGCTGGTGCAATATAGTTCCACAGCGAGCGCAGATTTGCCCCAGGGCTTGTGCTTTTCATTGCTGGATCAGCCAGTGGGAGTGTGGACCGCATCTGGCTTATGTTCGTTTTCAGCTGGGCCATGGTCGTTGTGCGAGAGTGACCTCAAGCTAAATATGCAGATGATGTGACTGTGAGAAAACGGTTGGCGTGATACGAGTTGCAATGGGCCAGCAAGGACGCTCCGAGTAAAGTTAAATGGAGAATGTGGGCAAGCTCAAAGAAGCAAGGAAAGCAAAAAACCAGTAGCAAGGGGGATGATGGTGGCTGTCAGGAGAGAAGCGTTGCATCGCTTCAGAGGCTTACGTATCAATACGACCGCCTGTCTGAGCCCTTCGCAGAGCTCAGTGTCTGTCTTGGTATGACCCGAAGGCCGCAGATGCGCTCTGTCCTCTTCGACGACTGACAACCACTACGTAATGCACTCACTACAAGCTAATCCGGAAGCCAAGCAATCACAGATCACCTCGGCATCAATGAGTGTTTGTCTGACTACACCTGTCGATCATGACCCACGTCGTAGAGATAACACTACATTTTTGCACCATCTTACTCCACAGCGGCTGAAGGCAAGATGCGAAAGCACACTCTATGTCTGGCTCTACTACTTATTCGTCTCTCACTCACAGTCTGAGAACGGCCGCAATGTTCGTCAGCATTACAGCAGACCGTTGACTGCATGAAGCTAACTTCTGTCACACAGCAAAGCGTCTGTTCTTGTCTGACTGTATGAGCCTTCTCAGACACCTCCGTGCTGCCTTCCGACTGCGTGACAATCACAGCATCCAAGCCATATCCTTCGGATGCTATTGGTGACAGGGCTCCATCAAGAACTTCAGGTCTTGTGCTCGTGAAGAACGCAATTGGGCCCATTCTGTGAGTCCAGTGTTGATTCAGTTATCACTGGCGCTCTCGGTCGACATACTGATGAAGATTCTGTTTCAGTGACCTTGGAGCTGGCTTTCGCGTCTGCTAAGTGTGATCCCTGATCCTGTCAAGGCATTCGAATGAGGCTTTGGTTACCAATCAAGTCGTGAGCGCAGCTGCCTTTTAGTTTCTGTGCCGACGGGACCCGACTCGTTTGACAACTTTCTGTCTGAGTGTTCAATTGACTGGCACGCAATCTCGTCTTTCTCTGCCATCTGCACATTGCAGCTAGTACCTGCAGCACCATCTAGGAATAGATTGGTTTGACGATCCAAAGTGGACGTCTTGCTAATATCTTCTATCAGAGCGTACCCTGGATTAAACCCAGTTCTTGAACCACGCTCCCGGGTTTCACCTCTTGCTGGCTGCATCCACAACCCACCATGGAGCACGCATCTTCTTCTTTGCCGTCTCTACTTGCGTCCTTTAATGAGAATGCGAACACTGCGTAAGGTCAGTCAACGATGTCATTGCAAAGTCCGCACACGGATGTGTTCAAGGAGATCTTCGAATGACTTGCGGTCATCTCTCCTCCGGGATGGGTGGAGAGCAAAAAGTCACTCGTTTTTGATATGGGGTGGATTCAAGCCACGCACGTCTGCCGATACTGACGTACTGTGGCGCTCGAGATAGGGACGTTGTGGGCGGGCGTCACTGGTCTGCAGTCTTCCCAATTCGATGGGGGAAATTTTTGAGCCCACCAGGTCTTGCCCCCTACATGTATCCATAATAAAGAGCAGGACGCAAGGGTCTCGCATCGCGTTTGCTCTACACCATATCGACCAGCTTGGAAGCATTCACTGCAACGTCCCTTATGCCTGGTGCCCGAACCTAAAGAATGAGGGCCCTCTGCCGTTACTTTGCGAGTTGAGCTTCATTCAATCCATAGACACGGGTTTAGTGAAATTTATCCAGTCCATAGACAACTCTCTTTGTCCAGACACTCCTGGAATACAACAGATCACGCTACAAAACGCGATCCCACCCCCCTGCCGCTCTTCGTTGTATCCAAAGCTCTGCGCGCTTCCCATCTAAGGTCCAGCCTCGTTACCGTCACCTGCATGGGACATATTGGGTGTCTTTCAGCGCATGCAGGTTCTTGAGGAGCTGCGGGTGGTGGTCGAAAGACGGGACTACGGGGTAGGGGAATGGGATCGATACAATGGTGACGCGGTCCAACTCGCAAAGTTGCGCCTGTTGCAGCTGGCAGGTGGGGTGCAAAAGAATATACTGGGCCTGTTGGACATATTTTCCCCCAGGCTCATGTCCACGTGAACCTGAAGTTGGCGGATGATGAGGATAATTTGCGCATCTTGGATATCTTTTACGACTGGATGGTTGGCCCAGAGCACGACACATGCAACATAGACATCGGCATCGAAAGCGACGCTCTCTCCTTCTCCTCATCTGTCACCGCTCCTTTTGGTTGTCGTAACGAGGTCAAGATGGAGCTGCAGGGGAGGGGCATTAACGGCCTTCTGTTTTTGCTCTCGGCAAGGTCTCTCCAGTTGGAGCATATCACTTGCTGGGTCGTGGAGTCAACCAAAGTGACGATTCTGTTCCACGCGCGTGAGGTCGGCAAGAGGTTCCCAACTGTCTGTGAGGTGGTAATGAATGCGAGCGAGCCGGTGGTCTTTGGTCTTCTGTTTGGTAGGATACGGCATGGTCCGGCATATCTTACCTTCCCTGGCCTACGCGTCTTGTCGGTCCGCCGTATTCCACCATCACATCGGATCGAAATTGAGGAAATTTACGCGGAGTGGTGGTCCTGTCTACGAGCGGCTCTCCATCGCTATAATGCGGCTTGCGGCGGGAGACTCGTGCAGCTGCGACTGATCGGGCAATGGAGCTGGGACGTGGGAGAGATACGGAAAATCGACAATCACGCGTTGGCACTCCTGCCGGATTTCCACCTGGTGAACGAGCTGATTGATGAACGCCGTTGGGAGTAGTCCCATTGCTTCGGTTTGTGTTATGCAGCTAAGGCAACATGACGCATATTCTCTCCATGTAGTATTGTCGTTCGGTCGATGATTCGAGAGAAACCTCATATCAGCGCTCAATCAAGGACCGTACGAGGTGTCAGAGTGATAATCATAGAAGCGTACTGCAGTCCTTTCTGTCCTTTGAGCTGGCATGGACTGCGAAAGCGGGTTATCGCTATAACAAGGAAAGCCGACGATGTCAGGCGAATACTTCCGCGCAGAAGAACGAGAGACGTGCAACAATACAAATAAGAATATTTGATGACGCTCGAGAGATAAGCTACTCAGGGAGCTCGCTTAAACACATGTGAACTAGAATCGGGCGTGAAAGGAAGGGGAAAGAAGGCAGCAATGTTATTTCGGGAATACAAAGTATAAGATGCTCGTAAAACTCGCCTTTAATTATGATGGCTCCGGGAGGTGCAGTACAATACACATATATGACAGGCAAATAAAACATACACGAAGAAATCTGAGACGAATGGCCTGCCTCACAATGCCGCAGCTTCCTCTCACTGGAGACCGTCCCGTTTCAGGTGTCTCATTTCATACCCGTGCACCTCTCCGGGCAGAGCATACATGAACTTTTGCTAAGCTCAAATTGAGCCAAGAGAAGGAGAATCGCCTGGATAAAGGTGAGGGAAGAGGTGATGGACGTTGTTCGGTCACCGAACAGTGGGCCCAAGACGGGAGGAAAAATGAATTAGAAAAGTGCATCATGTATGGCATATCGTTCAAATAAATACGGCATGAATATAGCTAGAGCCTCTATAATTTTCCCTTCAGAGAGTTGCCGCAGGAGCGAGTGCAGGCGGACGATCTTGAAGGCACGAATGGGGGTACGTTGGCGCACAGAATTCTGCGTAGAGGGGCGCGGATGTGCTGCGCCGAGGCAAGGCAAAGAAGTCGTGGGAGAGACAGTGTGGTAGAGATACGTCAGTAACACCTGTAAGCACGAGCTACAACGAATGTGGTGGTTGCGAGATGAGGAAGACGACAACATGCGCGCGGACGACCTGCGGCGTGTGGCGGCGGCCTTCTCACGCGTCAAGAGCGGCCACGCCTATCTGGCAGTATACACGGATACGCTCGCGGACACCTCCACAGAGTCGCGCCAAGTACTGAATCACCTACGTGGACAACTCAAAATAGTTTACTATAGATCCCATACTTCCGGTCATGACTGGCGTTCGTCTGCTTTGCCATCCTGGTCGCAGCGTGTATCCTCTCTGCCGATTACAATGCCTGAAGCGCGTCGTTAATGGGCAAGCAAATGGTCAGAGTAAAGTAGGCATGAAGGACTCTCGACCCGTTCATGCCAGTGCGAGTGCCAGTGCGATTGCAACCACCCCATGACACGGGCTGACTTCAAGCCAAAGCCCGCTTTCACTTGAACTGCCCACGCACGGCATCTCTTACACAACCCATCGATCTGCCTGCGCTCGCGCATAGTCTTTTTGCGATCATACAGGGAGCTCTCCGTAATCTGATCTCACGTGAGGGACCGTGCTCCCGAATCAGGATGACGCACACCATCAACCACCCACAACCACAGATCTGCGTGGGACGATCTGAGCTCCCTTCTCTTAAACCGAATCAGCTCACATCGCTCTGTCTCACTCGCGTTTGCCATCTCACACACGCGCACTGTGTAGCAATCACGATGCTTACGAATGCAAGCGTGTCTCTTTATGTCAAAAACTACCCCGCCGTTCCGCAATTGCCACCGTCAAGACCAGAAATCGGGCGTGAGTCAAGTTTAACGCCACTTCAAGACGTGCGATTACCTTTCTGACCGCTATGTGTCGATACCAAGCTACGACAACACCCTCCATTTCTGGCGCAGGAAGAACTCCGCGACGTCGCATCTGGGATACCGACAAGTTTACTTGTGACGTTCGTGACGGGAGTGCGAACCGGCACAGCAGTTTGGCGCACGGGTCAGACTCTTCGAAGGGCGGAAGTGCCCTAGATAGATCAGCCACACGAGCGAGTGAGATATATATGCCCCTCTAGAGCGGCGATTCGTACTGATCACATATTCGTTTGTCTACCCAGACGCCGGTCACTCGGACGTTCAACACCTTCAGATCTCTCAAGCCCGGGTGGCCGTTCTCGTGGGCGGTTGCGTTTATCGGCCCAACAAATGCAGCGCTTATCTCGAAGCTGTCATCCAATCGACTGAAGGCAGCCGTAAAGTAAAGGTAGCACGTGTGAGTCGAGCGACTACGGACGGCAAGGCGCCGGCGGTGACGCCAACGGAGCAAGCGTGAGCAGCGCCTTCCCATGTCATATGGTCTGGGGAAGGCTAACAGTTTGCGTTTGTGTGGTGCAGGGACTGTAGGGAGGGCTGTACGGGCACTCAAAGCGGTAAACGTGCCGCTTCGGATATGTGTTCCTATAACGGTGAAGAAAACGGAAGGGAGCAACGTGACAACAAGCGTAGACGCAGGGAATAGGCAGGAACCGAGAAGCAGAGCCAGTCCGTCGCACGAGAGCGTCTGGTCATGCATCATATGCTTTTAATTGTTTACTCATGTATGTTAAAGTCACATCTATATTATCTGTTAACCATATGGTTCTTGTTATGTCACAGTGCTGTGTGTATACGGTCCAACTTCCCCGCCCGTATCTTCAGAGCCTACATTCTCCGTCCGACAAATGTCCTATCCTTTGCGTATGCGCAATTTGGTACTGATGCCTCTATACTAAGACGTGACAGGTACAAAGAGGGACTAGCATATACTGTCTCCTCAGCGGAACCCGCTGACGCGCCCCTCGGCTCTAGCGCCTTGAACGCGCAAGATCAAACGCGTTTCGGAATCTCTCCCGCACGCGCGTGGCCCCGTGTGGCACCGACTCGACCGACCTCCTCGCCGCATATGCTCGCACATTTGGTCAAGCATACTGAAGTCTTTGTGACCATTGACGTGCCCTCTACTCGCGACGAGAACAGCGGTAGTGTATAGCACACTAAGTGCGGTTGACGCAGCTTACGAAGACCGCAAGACGGAAAGGACGTGTAGCCTTTCTAGCGACGAACACGTAGTAGGTGTCGATGTCTCATGATATCACATCTCTCTCTTAATGTACCATGAGGTATCGCACGCTCCGGCACTATTTGAAGCGGCCGCAGAAAACCTCGGTCGTGCTACATTTCACTTCACCAATGTTGTCCTGGTCCTCGTGTCTCTTATCCCATAGCGTTACGATGTATGCGTCATGGCTCGGCCGCGGCATCAAAATATATGCGACATGTATAGATTACTTGCTCCATCGACTCGTAGTCTCTTGCACTACGGATTGCGCCTTTGCCACCATGTTCTCCTTCTCTCTCAAACCCCCTCCTTGCTGAATGTGGGAGAGTACAGGCGCGGTATCTCGTCTCCTAGATAATATATTTGGGCGTGGACCTAGGTATCTAGACGAGCGCAGTGACATGGTGTCAGAAAGAGTCAGTCACGTTGGTGATGCATGAATAAATAGACGGCGCATAGACTGCGGCGCTCATGAACTTAGTACACCTTGCGGTAAAATCAAATGGCTGGCACTGATTTGTTATCCGACTCTTGGCACGAGACCAATGCATCCTCACACAGGGCAATTGCAACCGGTATATAACACCAAAAACAGACCCAAGCATCAGTTGTTACAGGATCCATCCCCCTTCTTCCTTCATCCGCCATCTACATCCACATGTCAGTCCTGTGCTTACATATGCAGATACGCGCCACAATCTTACATCATGTTTGTATAGAGAGTCAAGGCTTCAGCCGATACATCACGCATGATGTCCTTCCATGATGCCATGTCGGCCCAGTCATACGAAGACACCCGAGTGAACGCGGACCATCTCCGCCGTCCCAGTGATCCCGAGGCGCAGGCAACAGGTATGCCACAGGTCTGCATGCCTCGTGCAAGGACGCCTATCATTGGTTGAGGTCTGCGAGAGCTGAATGTAGTCCAGCCAAATGAAGACATTGCTACTCTACAAAGCAACATTGATGACGATTCGTTCTCGATGAGACAGGTGCGAGAATGCGTTTACGGTTTCCGAATGTATATCGTCTAAGGACTCAGTCAGGATCACCCGGTGATAACGTCTTTATTGAAGTTTGTTAGGTGCGCTGGCTGCCTAACGGGGATGACAGAGGCCTGGACGTGAGCGAATCGCTTAACGGATGTGTCAATCTTATCTGATCACTGACGGGAAGGTTGATCGATTGCGGTCACGTTCTATGCCGCCCATGTCTAGTCCTCTGGTTTGAACATATAAGAACGGACCACATGAAAACCCACCCGGACTACGACGTCAACACCATACCCGGAATTATGACGCGGTCTCAAATAGCCTTGTACCCCTCCGGTGTACACCGTTTCTTCGAGGTCGCTTCGACGTCGCGAATAATCTCCCTCGCCCCTGGTACACTTGCCCACACTGTTAATGCGCTGTGACTCGCCAGCCAATCAGAGCACACGCTATGGGCCTCATTGCGCAAAGATTAGTGAGAATTACGGACGGAGGAGCGGTAGGGCCTCTGAGAGACGAAGAAGCTGTGGAATCTGACCCACACATTTGGGAAGCCTACTTCGGGAGCTACATATCACAGGACCCGTTACTTACTCAACCATAAAGCATACATCTTCTCCATCAATCTGCAATGCACGCGCCTCTTTTATAAAAGTCTGACTATGTATGCCTGCATGAGCTTATATTTTGAACATACATCAACCTGCCGGCGTTATGTTGTTGTGCATTGAAACACATGCATGCTGCCTGATACGGACTGTGCATCCTACACCAATATGTTACACTTCCGGGACAGCTGCCATGCGCATCAAATGGGACTTCGAAGCTCAGATAGTCCGGTCAAAGGGCTGTTTTTGTCCATGGCGCTGGGGATGAAGACGTTTCATTGATGAGTGTCAGCGGGTATTATATGCGACGTCGAAGCACAGACAAATGTACAAAGCTACCCGCTCACTCCTGAACATACGACGTCTTCCCATTGCCATGTGTCCCGCGGTCTTTTGAAGACATCTATGGAGCCGCCTCGCGACGCTTCCGTCATCACCCGCCGCCGGATTTGCATACAGACCACCACCTGCCGTAGACGTGCAACGCCGCGTGGTTTACCAGCCTCGATGAGCCCCGACCTGCAACCCGTCAAGACGAGCTTTCTCGTACGCGAGGTGGAACCCGCTATTGGGCTTGCCATCGTATACGCATCCATCCGTGACCGGCAGGCCGTCTTCCCCGCGCTCCACCCCGATGCCGCTTGGAACAGCGCTTTCATTGGCTGTATCAAAGACGTCATCCACGGCATAGTCAGGCAGCATCTGCTGCACATACACCGACCTGGAGTTACTTTCAACGTCACCACTCAACGTCAGGCCCTGGAGAAGAGCGTCGAGGATACCGTACTCGGGCCAGTCAAGATGTCGACCGTAACCGTCACTTACGGCGCGAACGAAGAGAAATGTAAGGCCAAGTCGCTGCGCTTGCGCCCTGAAAACTTGCCCGAGTACGAACGAGCGGAGGCTTATGTCCTGCATTCGATGCACGTAAAAGCCGGCGCGGTTACCGTCGAAGACTTCGTGCAAGCTCCAGACATGGAGAGCGAGAAAGAGTATCTGACTACGCATCCCTGGCGGGTGTCATAGCAGCTTTGCGCATCGCAGAAACCACCGTCGGTGAGCTCTCGATCTCCATCGGGATAGCGTACGGTCGCTCACAACATTGTTGCAGGCAGCCAGACGCGCCGCTCGTCGCAATCGGCCGCCTTCGGCTTTTTCTTCTTCTTCTTCTTCTCTTGTACGCTTCGTTATCGTCTCTACTAGAGCACGCACTTTACGATTTCGTTCTTGTATCCCAAACTCCCCGTCTCTCAAGAGCGGCACACCCCCGACGTTACGCGTACTGTACCCGGCGCGTGAAGCTTCATCCGATAACCATCCGGTTCCGTCTGCCCCCCTTAGCCCGTCACCCCTTACATATCGTCGTTTGCGAGAGTTCCACCGTCAGGGTTGACCCGTACTTCCACCGTCTCGAACGTACCGTCTTCAGCGATGAGCTCAGATCACGAGTTTGAATCCGAACTGGACGCGGAGGAGCTCGCCGCCCTTGACAGGCTGGAAGCGGGCATGAGCGGCGAGCGAGTGGCGAGCTCTCAGCGATGCGACATCACGAACAGCGTCTCAGTCGTTTCAAGTATGACTATGTTTAGTTTACTACTCATACAGGACCGCTGTAAGGTGGGCGGAGGGGTTGTGTAGAGGCTATGAAATGCAAACACATCCGTAAACGCACATATCTTTTCAATGCGAGATGTCAGGAGGCAAGGGAAGGTATGATACCTGCCGAGACACTGAAAAACCCGGTCATCGAGAAGAATACCTCTGCTACGTAACGCAAAGTCTTCCTGAGCAGTAGTCAAGTGCGGGTTAACGGGCAGTACATATCCCAAACCTACTTCAATCTGTGCGTATCTCATGCCTCCGGCCGACCCCATGCAAGTCAGTATATCTGAGAAACGACAGTAGAGTCGGTACGAGTTAAGGGTGAGATGTGTCGGCATTGGTGAGTGATCATAGAACGCTGAACATGAGTATGTGGGACAGGGGTGTGTCATGTGTCAAAGATGAACTGCCCGTTGCATGGCAATCAAAGTCGCAGATCCACATGCATGCAATCGCTCTACTAGACGCTCTATGCGTGTTGTTATCATGGGTACGTTATTGGAAAGGAGACTGTGGGCAGGAGAAAATTCGTGAGAATTACCAATCCCCAAAGTGGTATCGGTCGGCACAACCTGAGGGTGATTTGATTCCAGAATCAAATTCGTCATGGCATGCCGGTGGCTCTTCACCAGCAGAGATCACAAAAAGACAATGAGCGTCCAAGTGATGATGTGACCTAACAGTTCACTACTCGATCTCTGACTGTCTTGCCTTTCGCTGCTATGTTTCTCAGGAGAGAGCCCGAGTCACAGGAGCGACTGAGCTTCACAATGATTCAACCTAGACTAAAGCCTCCTCGGTTGGTCCAAATAGAGTGATGTCAAGTTATGAGGTAGCCGTCAATGCAGTGGATGTGTGGGCGAGCTGAAATCAAACCGCGGAACTGTCAGTGTTACGAGCGAGAATGTGATGATCCCCGGGGGTCATCACGATCATACCGTGAACTTTGGACGACGGTGGGCGGTAGAGCCAGCGCGTTCGCGCAGTCGCGCCACCTCGGAATGACCTCGGGGTTCGCAGAATCGAGCTTCCCTACCTCGAACAATGACCCTCCTCGGGCTTGTATCGGGTTGGAGCTCTTTTACTGCGTACTTTACAAGGCCTTGTGCTGCGTAGAATGACGTAGTTACCTTAGAACTAGTATATAAGGACTGAGCCCATTGAATCGTTTCGGACAATAATCTTACTTACAATCTTACCCTTTCCTACACCCTTCCCGTTTATTGTACCCTACCTATAGTATCCAGAGTTCAATCTACGCCCTCAATAGGCACTTAAATCGAATCTCTCTCTCGGAACCCCCAAAAAGCCCAACAGGAACAAAGATTCCATGCGTACCGATCCAGTATCAATATAGCCCCCCATGCGATTGAGCCCGGTAGGTAATCATCTGAAAGATCTGAAAGTAGGTTCACACATTATGTAAGAGACGTCGAATTGCATGCATTTGTCTACTTAACATTATCAAACACGGCAACAACGCGCAAGGCAGAGCGATAGTCAAAATCACTGCACGGCATCATATGCATATAGAGGAGACGTGGGAACACAGCATCGTGGAAAATGGCCTGCACAGCAAACACCCTCAACTTACTCCTCCCCTGCCTCCCGGTCGTGCTCATCCCTACCGCTACCTTCATCGTTTGCGTCGTCACCGGATTCCGCAGTTGAATATATGGGACGCTCAGACTCCTCCCAGCGAGTATACCATAGAGCAAGTCCGTCTGTGTCCCAGTGCTCCAGCAGGTCGGTGTAGTCTTCTCGGTAAGGACTTCTCACTGCCAAAATCGGAAGATCGCGGTCGCCAAACACAGTCTCTGCCACCGTCACAGGGTCAAAGCTGCGATAATGGATCTTTATTTCTATCACTGGTGGCGGACGAGGAGGCTGGACGCTGCTACCTGATGCATGCGCGCCAAAAACGGCATCCAACCATGCGTCTGCAGCCATTGGTGTCTCTCCGTCAGGGGTCTGGCACCAGATGTTTTCTGGGATCTGATACAGTAAAAGCATCAGATCCTCTGAGCTGTGATCAAAGGTGACATGCGCAGCATCCCAGAAAGGGGAGCCTGACGCGTATAGCTGATGGAGGAGCGCGTCCATGCTCTTGCAAGACCCAACGGTCTCGCATACGACATCGAGGGCCAGCTGGCATGTTGGGGGATACGTGATGAGCGAAAAGAAGGCATTCATCGGTGATTGTGAGCTGTACAAGAGGGGTACAGGCAAGGCGTCGGGCTCATCGGGACGATCGTCGCCAGCGGATACGAGCTCTGGCTGCCATAATCGTTCGTGAATTGTCAACTTTCGCAAGCGTCGGAAATGCAGGGGTTCGAAGCGGCCATCGTTTTGGTTTGCCATATTTTGGATGATGTCAGACAGGTCTGGATGGTCGGTAGGATACGTCCCACTCTCCAGTGTAAGCTCTTCAAGCATCTCCTGCAACTCGCAAAGACATGTGATAAGTAGTCCTATATGAAGAGCTTTGTCGAACAAGCCCTCGGATCCTTCGTCTTCAAGGAAACGCCAGGATAGCTTGGTGAGATTGCGAACATCATCAAACGCAAACGATGTGTCGAAGATCTCGGCCGAAACTAACGCAGGTAGACTGAGTCGAGTGACTTGAGTCGAATACCAGGTAATGTCGAGGGGCGTGGGGCTCAAGAATGCCGGCTGACGACCGTCGTCTTCGGATGCTGCCACCTTCAAATGGCGTAGATTGCTGAGGTCGCAGCGAGCGAGCAAGCCCGCGGTCTCGGGGGTGTGATAGTGCTCACGAAAATGGCCTCTCCGTGCCTGGTAAAAGGTCAGGCATTGGACGCAACGAGCCACTTCCTTGTGTTTTATCAAGTACTCGAGTACGATGTCACTATCGGAACGTTCGGCTGAGCCGTAGAGCACCACGTTCAATGGATGGGATTTGCAGCGAGGGACCATCTCCTCCATCTGTTCAGGAAGGAGCCCGATGCAGTTGGCCCACAGAGCTGCATGATCAAGAGCCAGCTCTCTCCATCTGTGGCAGACATGGCTCGCAACGATGGCGCCTCCAAGGTGACCGCAACCAGGGGAGAGCAGGTTCGCCGGCGCCAAAGATGGTTGAAGAGTCCAAGTAGGGGGGAGATAGGGATCTTCTTCAGTGGGCGCCTCGACCTGATACCGAGTCGTTTTGGGATTCCAAGGGCGTTTCGGAGGTGTTGGAGGGTCCCCCTCGGACACGATCTTTATGATCTCCATGATCATTTCGCCTGGCAAGCAGACGTTGATGAGGTTCTCGCTGAAAACAGAAAAAGACATCGCTGAGTTGCAGGGCACTCTGAGTGATCGAGCACAGCAAGTGAACATACCTAACTTTAGGCTTGCTCATGGTGGACAGGATGACAGTCGGAGCTCAGGGATGCGGATCGGTCAACTTTCTCATCAACGAGCACGTCATGTAGTGACGTCGTATAGTTCCTCCGAGCAGCACGTGGGACTCATCGAGAACTGAAGCACACAGGCTAGTGATAGATTCTTGCCCAGTTGAATCATCTTGCATGTGGAAGGGTCAAGACTGAGCCAAAGGGAAGTGACCGCGGCCGGTTTCAGTACACTCTCATATGAGCACCTGAAGATAAGCTAAGAACACTACAGCAAAATCGTCACTGGCATTCCAAGAGCCTGAATTCTATTGCAACGAATCACAGATAGGGAAATAGACGGCAGAATATGCAGTGTATAAAAAAGCATTTGATGGGGCACCGAACGAAGACCAATGGGAAACGAGATTTTGACGGATGTCTCAAGAGACCGGCGCGAGACGGTGGCCTCAGCTTGCCCCTGAAGGGCCGAAAAGACCCCGATGATACAGGGTGTTCGGATGAAGTATTGACGGATAATGGCACTGCCCTTGGTTTGCGCGGAAATGTCATGACGGTGGTCGTGGTCGTCCTGCTCTTATGAAGACTGCGGGAGCACGCGCTTCGAAGGGTTGGGCGCTCATTGCGCCACGAGAGAAGACAAGCAATACGTCCACAGTGACTGCGACCAAGGGCGCTACAACCACTTCAGCAAGGTGGGTTTGACCATGATATGAGAGCCCTGTTCTTTTGGCCGACTGACGTTTCTCTACTCAGAGATTTGCTTTGAGGTAAAAGTCATGATACGGGGTGAATGTTACAACGCCTACAAGATGAACTAACACAGGTCCGACCATTGTATACCAGATACATCGTCATGCGAATCGTCGACCCATTGCACGAAAGCTCCCCGCCTGAAGTCCTCGGCCTGCCAGGCCCCGCTCGCAAGCTCTTCGTTGGCCTCTCATGGGCTTTCTTGATCGCTGGCCTTCTCACAGATTCTCAAGAGAGACACTCCAGTCGCACACGATGCGATATTGCTCCTCAAGATTTCTGGGTACCGGGGTGCGGTCCAATCCACGCAATAGCCCGTCAAACAGCGATTTTGTGCGCTCGATCTCGTGGACAAAGATGCCTTGCAAATGTCTCGGATAAGCATTGTCACTGACGCCCAACAGCGCGTCTTCCAGATCGGACAATGACTGCAAAGCTTCTATAGCTTTGATGGAAGGCAGGAGTGCCAGCGTGTCTTTCCAGATCCCTTTCGGAAGCAATTCGCCGCTCAGCACGGTTGCATGCTTGAAAGCCGGCCACGCCTCGGCGGCATGAAGACAGACGGACTTCATGTCCGAATGGTCGTGTACATGTGATCCGGGTATCAGCAATAACGAGAATCGCTTCTCTTGCGTCGTCAAAGACTGGATGGACAGAAGCATTGCAGGGCAGGGTGGATCGCCGGTATCAAACGAGATGGACACCTTCGTCTCGTCCACGCCGCCAGAGACCGAAAACACTGTGAGCAAGTGCTTTGCATACATGCGGTCCAGCGCTGCAGTCACGGTGGAAACGGGCGTCCCGACTCGTATGGAAATTGCGTCCGAAACGCGGCATCGGTCCGGAATGTCGACGGTGTCGTATACGGCCTCGATACATCTGAGCGACATGCTGAGTTTGAGTTTCAGCAAGTTTGGGAGGGTCACTGGATCCCTAGGGGACCCATGATCATTGTCGTCCACCAAGGTGCGGTCGTCATACTCGCCCGTTGACAGCTCCAACTCCGACAGGAGAGACATCTCGCCGATTAGGCAAAAGAGTTCCCGAATTGTGCAGCCGAATCGGCAGTACTTGAGGCTGAGGTGTGTGAGAGAGCGGGCCAAGAGCACCGTAGAACTGGGCAGGATGAGGCCGCCTTGAATACTGAAGGACCACAGTTTGGGTGGTATCGCCCCCGAAAACGCCCCCTCGTCAAGAACAGCTCCAAAATTCAGGTTGACGGGCGTGATCAGCGTCAACTCGAACACTTCCAACTCGTTTGCCCGCATTGATCTGATGATGGACGTCCAGTCGGGCTGGACCGCACCCGGAGGCGTAATCCAATTGTCATCGCCAGTGATCTCACGTGCCCGACCCTGCCGCAGCACCCCCTCGTACAGAAGCGGGAATGTGCGTTTCCACGCCCCTGAGATAGCTGGAGACAGTGTGCTAGTCTCGTCGAGCCTCTCCAGATTCAGTTTCTGGCCACGGGTACGATCGAGCGCAAGCTTTACCCATTCCGCGTGCATGAAGTTCCGCTCAATTATGGACCTCCACAGTTGGGGTGTGATTTCACACAGATAGTACCATAGTTGGCACACGAGCCGCAGGTTGAACACCTTGGGCAAGTCGTCTGGAACGTGTTGGACGCCTCGCTTATCTGGTTCGGGCACCAACACGAAGACAAAGACTAGGACTTCATGTGGTAGCCGGTCGACGTAATCTTTGCCGGAAAGCGCCTAGGACGTGAAACTATTGGTTCAGAGAGCGCCTGTAAACCGCCTACAATCTCACTCACCGAAGTCTCCCTGTTTTGTTGATGGACCCGACCGTCATCATCCGTCGACACTTCGAGATGGCCATCAGACGTGTCAAGACTCTCGGACATGCCTGTTCGACTATCGCATCAGATATAAGCCTGACAGCTTTGCAAGAGACTCACTTCAAGAGACGTGTGGTGGGCGTCAGTGTCCAAGACGCGGAGAGAGGCAGGGAGCTCTGCGGGGGACTGATAACCACACATTCCCACGGCCGCGATCACGCAGCGCACTAGGGAAAAAAAAGCGTATCGTCCGTCGTCCATTACCGCCCGCTTAATTTAACTACTTCTGTATGCATATGACCCTCGCTTCCGATCTCAGCGCACATACACTCCGGCTTCTGCCCTTTCTGCATCTTCCTCGCTGCTTCTTGAATAAGTACTCTCGTGTACGCGGTGATCCCCACCTACCTCCACCTGTCAAAACTCGTGCAGAGTGCGTCGAGGCCCTCTTTCACCCGTGCTGTGCTTAGTAACAGGGCTCAAAGGAAGGTGGATCAAGCTTCAGCAATCTCTCGGAGCCGACGCAATTCAGTATTATTGGCCGGCGATTTGATAGGCACACGCCATCACACCCCGGGCGCTCCTCGCATCCAGACAGTCTACTCATCACCGCTCAGCAAACCGGCATTGGCAATCCCGCCAACAAGGAAAGCGGTCAGACTAGGTGGGCATGCTTGCAGCAGGCTAAAGGGGACACACGGATCTCGATCATTATGTACCGACCGATTGATGTGGCCTGTTAAACCCCGCGCTGAGAGCCAGATGTCCAAAGCAAGGCGGCTACTTGAGCATCTTTGAGGCGCACTATGATGTGTGACGCCCCAGGCATTCGCGCCATTTGACGGTCTTATAAGGGGCCCTACTTACAACACACACATCGTCTTTACCCAGGCTGCCCATCGTCTCCTGTGCTTCCAACCTACCATGCGTACCAAACTTTGTTCCTTTGCCTCGATCCACATATTAACAAGTGCATAATGGAACGGATGCTATCAAATCCTTTGAAGTTTCCCAACTAGCACAGCACGGGCATGGTTCGGGACGGTCCCGACAGGGTCGAGTACATGAGCCCCCGCTGGGGTTTAGTCAGTTTTGCAACCCCGACATCCCACAGGCGATTGTGTTTTAGCTCTTGCGGCAAACTATCTGCGAGACATGAAATCTCTACGTTACTCGTAAGTCACTTTGTCGACAGGGCTCAAAAGAGTCCACACATTTTGACGACTCCATACGGGCGATTACCCGCGTGCGTCTCATCCATTCCTCAACCCGTGCCTTCCCGTGGCTAGAAACTACCCAGTGCTGTGTTTGGCCGAAGCTTACGGAGCGGAATAAAAGCCTTCAAGACCTCGTCACTATCCTCAACACAATGTTTCTTAATTCAAAGCGGCCATCAGCAGAGGCCCATTCATATCGTCGGACCAGATTTGGGCGCGAACACAGCTGAGACTTTGGGTGCAGAGATACCGTACAGTTCTCATGCGTGCCAAAACAGGCTTCAGATGTTTCGCATGAAAGACCAAGCACGCAGGCCGGAAAGTGATAGTCAGAAGGGCAATCTGACCACGCTTGTGCTTTACGTCGGTGCTAGGTGTCCTTCATACGTAGACTCCTACAGCCGACGATACTTTGATGTCCCGAAGTGATCACTGGTTTTAGGTGGGAGGCTGAGGCATACATCCGGAATGACGACTCACTATAAGATCGAGAATGGCTGAACGCAAGCCGCTAAGTGGCTTATATCAAGCCAATGGGCTGGTCAGTGGCTGATTTTGACCATCAATCGAGCAAATTGGGCGGCTGATATTTTGACACACATCAGCGGTGCAGCCGTTCCGGTGACTGATTTTGACCAAACACGACTGCTTTTAGGCCATTCTGTAGCGTGCAGATGGCTTATGGAACGACTGCACCTCAGCCGTTCCTGATCTTATAGTGACTGTCTTGTGCTTACTGCTTGTGCATACTACGGATGTCATGGAGCCACGATATCTGGACACTGGATCTGCGCGTTGGTATAAGAACGTCCGCTCTCTAGAGACATGAGATGAGAGCACCGAGTGATCTCCTAAAACAGTAATGTGCACACATAAGCTCTTATCTGAAGATACCGCGCGAGTTCAGTGTAACGTTGAGACACTCCTTCACTCGTGACGGGTCAAATGTGGAACTCAATACTCATAATGCTTTGTTATACTTAGCTGACAAAGGAACCAATAAACCACACCGCACATGAAATCTGCATAAACAGGTTGGCTCGGTCTTGCACCTCTAGCCAGAGGCCGTGTGGACTAGACTTATGCCACCTGATTATTCTGGTGTTCCTCTCTCTCCCGCTACTACCAGAGCCCACTGGCATCGATTTGCGGGGGATCGCAACCACTTTGAGGAGTAAATTGTCAGAGTATCTCTCAGGAAAGTGGAGAGCAGTACATATCAGCGGGTCGTATTCTGGCGGGGCGTGCGGCCAAGTCCGTGAATGCGTCGCGGTCGTCCTATGATCTTGCGTCGAGGCCAAATAAGGTGCACCAGACAATAGGCCGTTTGCATCACCCTTGTACTGCGCGGCTTACTGTCGTAATGTGCGCTGTGGCACAAGGTGCTTCATTCCCATAGGGGTCTTGTAGAACTTTGCACAAGGAGCACTGCGCGCTAAAGTCGCAGATGATATGTCGCTTGAAGAAATCCTGCGTCATCACCGACATTCATGCTTCATATATAAATGGTCCGGTTTTAGCACAGAATCGCGAGGATATCTTCACATAGCCAAGTAGACGCGAGGACTGCTCTTACAAGACTGGTATCATGTCTGTGAACTGGCCTGCAGTGCGCCAGCGTCAGAGCTCGGAGATGATGTAAATATTTGTCAAGGGATTTGATTTGATCGTGTTGGAGAGAATGGTCGATAAGAATCATACAGTCTATAATGAGCCGTGACGATACTGTAATTTTCAGACCGGATGTTCGTAACGCGAAACGGCGGGTCGCCGAGCGAACTCCGGGGTTGTTCGTGTAACGCGAAACGCTGGACTTCGAACCCGGAATCGTTTCGTTACACACTGTAAAAGGCGAAATTCTATGTATCAAGAAGTAAAAGATACATAGAATGAGAGCATGGCCATTCAGTAAGTACATCATAGGCAGAGGGAGACCTAATGCATGCCGTAGTCCTTGTACTGCTTGTTGGCGACCTTGCGGCGCTTACCACGGCCCATCTGCTCCTCGTCACTCTGCACAACTGGGTGCTCCGAATCAGACACCAAACCGTCTGCGAGACCTTGACCGACCGCGGGCGTAGTGTCGGACTGCTCGCGCGGTGCGAAGATGTGCGCCATGAGGTCAGCAGGCTCCATGCCCGAGTCGTCGCCCAAGTCAACTTGATCGTCATATACAACCGTTGACTCGTTCTCGCCATCCGATACCGAGGCATCGGACAGCTCAGACTCTTCGACGAGGTCGGGCATGCCAGACAACTCATCGTCGGAGTCCTCGCCAGTGCTCCGAGCATAGTCCGCCGAGATCTTTGCCCATAGCGCTGGATCCGAGCGCGGGAGGTCACGTACGGCTTTGAGAGCCGCCGGGCTTGTCAGAGACTCAAACGATAGATTGAAGCCACCGCGCACAGCACACTTCTCGAAGGCCTAGTGCGATTGTTAGGATGAGTTATCGCAAATGAACTCAAGTGCATACATTCTTGACGAGTGACGGTTGATTGATGCTGTGCCAGGCATCGGTGAACCAAGATACAGCGCGGTCGCGAAGGGTACCAATGCGATTGTCTAAACGAATAGCCGTCGCAACAGCACCAGAGCGAAGGTGCTGCAGGGTCTCGCTGATGATGTGTTGCTGCTGACCCTGCCGTATCGCCAGCTTGTACGGCCGTTAAATGCCGACATCGCAGGGTTGTGCGAGACCCGTCATCTCACCTGGGACATAGCGTAGCCGAATCCAAGGCCAACGACGGCGAACAAGAGTCCTGAACTCCCGAGACCTATGAAAGGACCAGCAGTCCAAAAGGACGATACACTCCTGGTCGTCAAGATAACCATGGGCAGCCTTGTTTCCCTCGAAGAATGGGACGATGACGTGTTCAAAGTAAACCTCCATCAAGGGTGCACTTGACCAGTAGTTGGTGGGATTGAGGTCGAAGCGTAGGCCGATAGCGAGCGCATCGTCGCGGTGTGGTGCATTTTGGGAGGGGAGAGAACGCGGCGAAGAGCCTTTCATAATGACCTGTGTCGGCGAGACCGACCCATCCGATGCAACACCGACAACGGCTGTCCAGGCGCGCTTCTCCTCCTTATTGACAGTACTGACTTGACGGTTACCCTCGCGGGCAAATGTACGAGTGGAAGGATCGGCGATAACAACTTGTGTCTGGTCGAAGTTGACGTAGAGTCCACCATGACGAATCCCGGCATCACGGAGAGACACGACAAGACGAATAAAGAGCTCCCAGAGAATGTTGTCGGCATTCTCAGGAGTCTTCTGCGCGCGCGTGCTCTTGCGTGGAACCCAACGAAGATGCTGGTACAAGAAGCGCCGAACGTAGGCGTCCGAGCAGACGAAGCGACTGCCGTCGCTGAGAACCTGCTCGAGCAGCTGAGGAGCGCGGTGTTGTATGATGCCTAGTATGATGCCGCGAGCATTGTCGACTGTGATCATGATACCAGCCTCACGAATGGCTATGAGCTGTTGGAGTATTTCGTCGACGACTTCCGGGTGAGTGGACTGTCAAAGCGATATCAGAACTGCATTGATCTCCAGAGGCAAAGTACTAACAAGAACACCGCAATGGTGGGATTGAACTCCTGGCCGCATACCACCGCGAGCCTCAACGCGACGCAGAACCTCCGGACGCCAGTGGGGGAAAGAATCAAGTGGTCGTTCAATATACCGCCCGAGCACTTGAGGGGTCAACGCCGCAAAATCGCGTGGGTTGCGACGCTGTAAGCACTTCACGATCTCCGCCGGGCGCATCCAAGGGCCACAATCGCGAGCCGCGCTACAAATTTGCTCGAAGAGAAGTTGATTTGTGCAGTTGATCTTCCTCGCATCGCTATCCGCACGAGTACGCTTACGACCGCGTTTGCTGAGATCCGCACTTGCATCGATTTTGAAATGTCGGTATGGGCGGGAGACTTGGGCAGTCGCCGGACCAAGCTGCGGCTCCTGGGTGCGGCCGAGATCATCGAGCATGGAAGCTTTGGGACGGCAGTTTTCCTGTAATGCCATAAGCAGGTGCTCCTAGTATGATAGCTCTAAATGACGGATTTACCTTAGTAGCCTTCTTCTGTTGACGAAACCTGCGGACCCGCTCGCACGTCAAAGCCCGAACATGTTCCTCCTTCTTCAAGCGCTCTAACCGGATGCGGTACTCTCTTCGCTGAAGCTCCTCGGCAACTGCTTCAAGTTCCTCCGCCTTGCGAGCCTGTCTCCGTGCCTCTGCTTCCTCAGGTCAAAGACGTTCGAGATATGCCGTGAGTCGATTGGTGCGACCCGAAGGTTCTGAGCGAGCAGGGACGTGCTTGCGTGGGGAAGGTAACGAAGAGCGTGGCAGGCCAAGTGATAATTTGTCACGAATACGTGGCTCAGCGTGACGGGCAGCGTGAGGTGCATGCTGATCGAACGAAGGGCACTTGTCGTCGCCCACTAAGTCTTCGAAGTCTTCTACCAACTCGTCTTCCTCGTATGAGACGTCCGAAAAGTCAGATGAAGCATCGGTGTTTGAATCTGCGAGGGACCAGCCAGAGAGAGACGATGTTGACATGGAAGCCCGTTGGCAAAGACGTGCTGGCCACGACGTGAGCTCAACTTTAGGCGACGACAACCGTGGTGGCGTGGGTGGACGGGGACTTGCAAAGTCCGATGGCGGCGCCTCCGATTGAGCATGCGAACTTGGGTCACTCAACGACTGACAACATATTAGCTACTTATGCATAGATCAGAGTCAGAAAGGCGACTTACATCTAATGCAGAGTGCTCAAAGTCGAATGTCACGTTGTCGAGCTCAGCGGCATCCTCTTCTCCGTTTTCCCCCTCCTGGACCAACTAGACTGATTGGTTAGACCAAGACCGACTACGAGAGGAGCACATATACATACCTGCACATCCGAATTCTCGGCGACGTCGTGAACAAGCCGGTTGAACCCTTCCAAGCGCCACAAATCAGCAGTCGCCTGCCTCCAGGGTTGATCGCCGAGCAGTTCGTGTGAGAGAGTGGAGAGATATGGAATGCCACACGAGTGGTCATTGCGCTGGCGGGGAGACACGATCGGTGAAGTGGATGGCGTAAGTCGCGGGACGGGAGTTGGTAAACGAGATGACAACGCCCACTGGATAAGCTAGAGATGCTCCGAAGTTGGGCGCGACGCGGAGTAGAGCCCGTCACGGTACGTGTACGTGAAGTCGGTTAGGTTGATATGCAGGCCAGCTCAGTGGTTGCCATTGACGTGCAGGGGAATCTCGAGTACACGCATGTTGCCGGTACGAAGAGACTCGGCCAAGCGCGATGACCGAGGAGCGTATGTGTGATAGCCTTGTGCTCGAGCACTACGAAGTGAGTCCAGCCAGTAGCAATTTGCAATGGCAGTCGAGGAGTCCGGACCGAGAGCGTGAACGAGCCAATCGAGGCCCGCATTGAGTATATCGTCATTGAGCCAGGGATGGGAGAGAAAGGACGCAAGATCGCGCGCCTGAAGATGCACAGCACCACCGCGACCGGGAATCTATTTTGACCAAGTTAGCGCCCATACTCTCGCAACGAGGCACATGCTTGCTTACCTCGACGTCGTGGGGAAGTACATGAAGGGAGGCGCGCGCTTGTTGAGCAGCGAGAACGAAGTTATTCTCGAAGGCGCTGTGTGGCGTAGCATCCTCGTACTGCTTCAAGAAGTCGTCGGCCTCGTGCCAGCAATCAAGCCGCTCGGCAGAAGGCTGCAGGCGCTGTATGACGTCCGTACCTCAAAGAGGTAAGCGCTGCCGAGGTGCGATCTCCAGTGCATTTGCACCGGCCGTAACCGAGGAGTTGATGGAGGAGGTCAGGCGAACTGTGTGCCGAAGAGCCGCTTCAAACATGGAAGGTGCGATGTCGACGATGATCTGCTCAAAGCCGGGTGCCGGTGAATCCTCGAGAGGTACGTTTGGCTTGTCGGATACATATCAAGCCGAGAAACGAGCAACGATGGACGGATGAAAGTCGAAGAACATATCAAAGAGATCGAGCGCCTCCTGAACGGCAAGGCCGTGATTCGGTAGCAAAGGAGCTAGGACATGCGACGGAGCCATGAAGGGCAGAGTTGCCGCAGCCGGAACAGGCTCGATTGAGAGGTCGAAGTCAACCGAGTCGCTATCGGCGATGCCGGACGTATTGGAGATAGGAACAGCCAGAGAGGATGGCACGAGCAAGAAGAGCAAGCGAAATGTGCTTCGTTGGAAAGCTGGAAGCTGGAACTTCGTAGTCAGCGTCATAAGATTAGAGGTACTTGAAGCATAACTTACCGAAAGAGAGAGACCTGTTCCGCATGAGCAAGAGCATGTTGTCCACACAGACGACGATGGGAAGATAAAGTAGATGTATTGAAACGAGCGGAGCGAGTAGACTACGTGCGACTACACAAGCTGTGTATGAAGTCAACTCTCGGCAAACTCTGCGCTGCTAAGTGGGGTCCGATGTACGGTATATGTATTGCTGATTAAGATATAGCGGTGGGCTGTGGGAAGACATTGAGACTAGTCAATAACGAGAGTGCGGGGACAGAAAGATGGCAAGACTCACCGTCAACCTCTATCGTGTGTCTTATCATACCCCTCGCCTGCCTCGTACATCAGCCGTTATCTGCTTGTACTGCAGCCGACACCAACTGACCTCCCAAAATATTGCCAGATTGATCTCAACCTGCACAAACATTGGCTGAGCATGGAGAGCCAAAGCTTAACCCACAGATAAGCCTCACCTGTGCGGTGCGTACAGCATGTCATCGCTTGAGGCATCAAAGCGGGTATCAGGCGATCGACGCTGGTGGTCATGGTGGTTAAAGAGAAGGGGCGCGTCGCTCGGTGGGAAGGAATTTTAGGGGCAAACGTTCGTGGTAACGTGTAACGGCCATCACCGAACCGTGATCGGCCCGAACAGCACTATAGGTAACGGGTAACGCTAGATTCGACCGAACATTTGGTCTGAAAATTATAGTATACCATTTTTACCTGCGACATGAGTAACACCATATCACTCAAAGTGCCGAAGTTTGTTGTCACACTGCTTCACAAAATTGGGAATCTTCTTTGGGTGAGTTTTATTTTGTGTGAGTGATGTCGGAAAGTGCGCCCTAAGCCTGGGTCGGCCAGAGAATGACGCTCGGGAGAATCAAAAGGGCATGGCGCGCGTACCCGAGATCTCACGTGGACGCGTTTCTGATCGCGTTTAGCGTCAACGCGAGACGGAAGATGCAAACCAGTATGGTCTTTCGTCTGCTTTCTTTTATCGTCACGCTACTGACTACGTGTTCAAGTACCCTTTTGACAAAGTCCATCGCTTCCCGTTTCTCTGAGCACGCGCTCTCGAGCGCACCGCGTGCAGTACGCGTACGGTCCATGGACCATGAGCTGGAGGCATTGAAATCGGCCCTCTCTCAAGCGCGGCGCACGCGAAACATGCAAACATACGCCTGCGCGCTCTCGACTGAGCTGCTCGTGTATGTATTCGAGCACCTTAGAGAGATTTGGAGACCGCGACGCGACACTCATGGAGAGAACCCTGCCGAGGATAATCCTGTCTTCTGCTCCGGCTGGATCACCGTAACTCACGTCTGTGCTTTTTGGAGGGAGGTATGCCCTGAAACAATTGCTCGTGACTTTCTCCAAACTGAGCAGTTCGTAGATAGCTCTCGGGGTGCCCTCTCTATGGTCGGGGCAAAAGATCGGTGTCTTCGATATCCCACACCAGTATATACCCATGGTCCTGACGTGTGCTCGCTCATCTACTCTTAAAATAGACCTGTGGTGCGATTGGGATTTAACTTTGGCGCGAGCAGATCCCAGCATGAATGCCTGGTTTACCCCCGCTATACTCCAACGCGCGAGGCAGTTGGACATCTACGCGGACAAGGCTCTTGCCGATCATCTATGGCCACGTCTTCCTGCGCATATGAACTTCTTACAGAAACTGCGCATCGAGGCCTTCGAAAGGAACGAGATTCTCGCCTTGCCTCAGCCTCTCCTCGATCTACCGGCGGTCACGAGCCTTCACCTCCAAGGCTACCACGTGCCTTGGCGATCCGCGCTTATGTCGCCGCAGTTGACCGAGCTAGACATTGGATACTGGTTCCCTAGCCGCCCTCTACCTTACGAAGTCCTTCGTGACATGCTGTCTTCGCTGCAGTTCCTCGAGCGGCTCATTCTCTGTGGCATCAATGTCCGTTTCAGCACTCCTTTCGACCAGATTCCCAATATCGTTCTGTCCTTGCATCTTATGAAATTGGAAATTCACACGGAAGTCGAACAGGGCGACATATCTACGAACAACTTGATGTTGATGTCACTCCTGCAGACGCCACCTGGCTGTAATCGACTTGTCTCGATCCAGAGAGAGACAGGCGAGACGGCCCCTCTCGAAGGAATACTAGCTCGACTTATACCCCTCTTCTCCCTTGTCAACTACAAAGAGATGGGATTACGACAACTTTGGCTGGAGGAACACGCCATGACATTCGCTTCAACACCCATGATGCTTCAAGACTCAACCGTGGCTCATCAGTCATCTTACAACCGTACCGCCGCTCGACTTGACCTTGCCCCTTCACTCGATGCATACCCCTTGAATCTCTATCTCCCATTCGTGCCTGTCGGGCGTCTTCGTACCTTGTTCCTCGATGGGTGGACCACGAGGACTCTCTCTAGCCATAACCTCTGGCCGGAACTGCTCCGCGCGGAGGAGGTCTGGGACGTCAAACTGACTTCGGCTACGGAAGGCCACGACTACGCCACCTTCTTCGACGTTCTCCGTAATGAGCGCCTTGGTGGTGACAGTAACAGCCATTCCGCCATGTTATTTCCACGAATGGAACAACTCGCGCTCCCTCTTTCCGGAGTCGAGACAGCGAGCACTGACGTGATTGCCGATCTGATTAAGCTCATCCACGCTCGGCAGCATAAAGGCGCGCCCATCAAAAAGCTGCTTGTGCCGAAAGAAGTCGAGCATTGGATCTCATGGGATACCCTTCGCACGATGATGAACGTCACGACTGTCATAGATGGCCAGTATTGATCGCCCGTCACTTCCAATCAGATCACTCCCCTTTGCCAGTCACTGTTCGAGAGGAGAACGATTAGGATGACTGTAGCACATGCTTGCGACAGATGCAAGTCGTCCTGTCTTCACTTAAGTCATGCCGATTGTGTTAAATGACGGATGGTAGTTCGAACGGGGCGGGGGAGGGGGTATGCTGAAATGGCGCTCAACACCAGTGCGATGCATTGTGAGAATGCAAGCTGCAAGACGGAGGCGGAGAGGCAGTGGTAGATTTTGGTGTACAAGTGCAGGATGACCGTTTTACGGAAGTACATGGCGAGCCTGGGAGTATGATAGAGCTTAGATGCATACTACGACAGATGAAAACGAGGTGAAGGTGTGAGCGGGCGGGTACAAGAACGAACAACGCACCGGCGAGGACAGATCATAGAGAGCGGGCACAAGCCGGCTCGCCACTCGATAGCCTCCCTACTATCCTATATCCTCGCCAATTGTAGGAGCTCCTGGCGTACGGAAGAACTTGAGGAGACGCGCGTGGCCGCATGTAGTCCCGGGTCAATCACGCCGCGAAGTGGAAGGGAAAGGGAAGGTGCGTTCGCCGAGCCCGCGCCGCCTCCTATATGCGACGACGCGTGTGCGGCCCGCGTACGTAGATACATGCGATTTGAAATACAGCGAGGCTCCCGGAGCAGAACGAGGTATGGCTGGTGTCGAGATATGTACGGACGGGGGATAGGCAGTATAGTAGCGACGATAGTGGGGAGATCAGTGGTCAGTAGGGCAGCAGCAGCAGGAGTTCTCAGTACGGTATGTAGCAGCAGCATTATCGGTCGGTCAGTCCGTTTCTGTATGTATGTATATATATGTGTGTGCGTGTTGAGTATGGCTCGAAAGCCCTGCGCATTGCAAGGCGACGCGCGCCGGAAGCGCGACACCATGGGCAGTGCTCTAAATAAAGCCCCTCCGCATCTCACGGCTGCCAGTCTGGCGGGTGCTCGAAATGAACCTGATGATTTAATATATGGCGTATTCGCAGGAACGCGACCGCGGAGACACGGATGGCGGAGGGACCGCAATCTTTATGAAGTGGTGTAGTGCATAATCTCTTCACACGAGAGGAACTGGATGTAATCGTCGAGCGTCAAATGCGTTGCTCGCTCCAGAGCGTTGTCAGGAGCGAGGAGCGCGCCAGAAATGGCGCGCGCGGTAAGCTGCATTGCGGTAAGAGGCAAATACGGCCTGCGGATGAGAACTAAGCACTGAGCCCTCCGCCGAGTACAAAGACTCATGCCCTGTCTGAAGACAGTCGATTCTGTCTCCGGACATGTTCTTGTCTTCAGACAGATTGTTCTGTCCTCAGACAGCTTATCCTGTCCTCAGACAGCCCATCCTGTCCTCAGACAGCCTGTCCTATCCTCAGACAGCCCATCCTGTCTTCAGACAAGTCGCTTTGTCTTAAAACAGCGCGGACGAGCGCGGTTCGTTTGAAGACGGACCGACTCTGTCTGAAGACAGCGGCCTGTCCACAGACAGACACTCGCCATTGGTGCCGGACTGGCGTACTGGCGGATTCCTCAACCTTACATACCCCCCGCGCCGCAACCGTTCTCGTCTAAAGACGGCTGGCTGTGTCTTCCGTCAGACTTCTGCCTTCAGGCTTGTATTTAGACAGCTCATCCCTGTCTTCAGACAAGTTGCTTTATCTCCAAACATATCGCGCATGTCTTGAGACGAAACAGACGAGCACTGTCTGTTTAAGGACGGAGCGACTTTGCTCGAGAACGCCTGTCTACAGGGAGATGGTCGCCATTGGTGGCGACACGATCCCCACGCCGGGACCGTTTTCGTGAAACTTAGGCACATCTTCAACGCGTCTAATCCTTCCGCTTAGCAGATTTGGCTGCACAACGAGCGCGCGGGTACGCGATACACACAACATGCCACATATGAATGACCCTGTGGGGTTAGGTCAGTACAAGAAGCGTATAGCCGCGCGCTGCGGTACGGTGAGAAGAGCGTACCAGGATCCATGCATAGCCTCTTTGATGCTCGCATGCGTAGAGCCATCGCTTAAGATGGGAACCTAGCAGCCAAAGGAGAGCTTCTCGGCGATGGCAAAATGCCGACAAGCAGCTGTACCTACAAGTACAGGACACAGCACGGGATTCACAGGCGCATCCGTGCTCTGTAGACAACCTGTATAACAGGACACAAAGGGGCGATGATGATGGTACGGGATCAGATCGAAGTCGTTGGGACCTCAGACGACGCAACAAGGGTAGGTTTATATACTGTACAGGGTGAGGCCAGAGCGCTTAGCTCAAATTTTCCATGGACTTTTGGTACAGACGTCAAGGCTCATACATTGTCATCAACAGCGTCGCTCCAGTGCGTACTGACCTGTCTATGGGGCTAGTGTCAGGTTCAAAGGCTTGACACATCGCGCAGTTGTGGGTGATATGTGTGCGACTGTCCTAGTTTCAGGTACGTACGCTTGCCGAACATTTGGGCGGATACAGACGCCTGTGATGTGTGTCGGTAGACCAAGTACTTACGAGAGCCAAGCTTCTCACATGTCTGACATCTCCCACTCTAGCCGTTCATAGGTATCACACAGGCCTGAAACAACAGCTAGCATATCTGGGCCTGTCTCTGTCTTACGGGTCGCATCGTCGTTAGAATAGTGCTCTAAATGTTCAGTACACTAGGGTTTATTGACAAAGAAGTAAGGCCCCACGTGTAGGCCTCAAAAACCATAAGCCTATGTGCGCCCTCCAGCTTAGCATCACATCATCGCACCGAGGGTATAGCGGATGACTCGTGATCATAATCGACTCAAACACTCAAGCCAGGAGTTCCAGGAAGTGTGTCATATCGGCGGTAATAGTCCCGATAAACGACGTGTACCGCCGCTTATTATTAAACCGGTATATGTAGCCACGTTTCCTAATGCATAGTGACAGGTGGAAGTTCTGCCGGACGCGAAGCTGACGCTTTCCATTGCTCTTCCTGCTGTCTCCCCATCTTTCTACTTATGGGCCAGAAATTCTCCGTTGAGACGGCCCTGCCAGCAGGCAAAACTCTCGTACCTTCAGATATCATACTCGAAATTGCCCGCAAGCGTATTCGCTCGATGCACCCGCCTTTGGCCGGGCGAAATCACACGGTGGCCGCGACTTTCAACCATCAATGGGGTGGATTCCGCAGGGACCTTGACATGCGCGTCCCATTTGCAGCCGCCCCTCTCATCCCAGAACCGGAAGCCTACCATCACGCATCCGGGAATCTCGGTTGGATAGAACTCATGCACATCTCAAGAGCCATCCGCAATACTCTGCGTACAGGCGGGTCTGAGTTTTGGGCTGCGTCCATTGGACGCCTACCTAGAGCCATCCATGACATGCTTGCGCTTAGCAGTGGCCGGCTGCTGGATGTCTTTGTTGATCTGGCCCCTTGGCGGCAGGATGGGAGCCGGCAAATGATGAACTTTCTTCTCAATGGCACTGTACCACTTGCACGCATCCGCTCGCTCATCTTCGTCGACGTTCGAGTAGACACCAATCCAGCCCTTACTATATTTCCAATTCTTGCGCAGATGACTGCCTTGCAGTCCGTCGACATCTATGTTGCTCTCACTGAGCAAGTCCGTGGACAAGTGGCTCTCCCACCTACTACAATCCGTTTCCCCATTCCTGACCTTGCTATCTCTGTTCACCCCGTCAGACTATCCTTCACGTGTTTTATAGCCCGCGTGAATAGCGTCACTCATCTTTCTATTTGGCAGTCCTCCTTCGCTAAACCATTGGCGGCTTGGACTGTCACTTGTGATGAGCTGCTTAACGTGCTTCATCTTTCGCGTGAGACCCTTGAGACGCTCGACATCCGGATTGACTTGCCTGGGGAAGCTAACCCCGATGCTCGAGACCCCACGGTTTCCGTTTCACCTGCTCGAATTCACTTTCCGCGCCTCACGCTCATTTACTTCCGTGACTTTTACGACCCTGGACGATCCGGCATACCTCTGGTCTGCGACATTGTCCCACGAATGGGCTTTCGGCCTGACGTGAGGGTTCTCGTCCGTCGGTTCTGCGTGCAAGAGCAATTGCTCTATAGCGATGAAATTTCACGATATTTTGGCGAGGGCGGCCTTCCCCCTGCCACTTCCTGCACCATCGACGCTGCTCGAGTAGAACCTGCGAAAAACCCCGAGTCGGAGTTTTGGCCTCCCATACGTGTACACTATTCTACTGGTCCACACAACGCTGGCCTCAAGTTCACCATCTTCGCCCCGGGCCACCACTTACAACCGAGTATTGCTCACAAAATCGATAAGCTCGTCGACGTTGCCGCAAACTTCTGCTCTAGCGGCATATCGCTGCATGCACCGCATGTGTCGCATTCCCCTCACTTTCGGCGCCTGCGCGCGGGCATGGACTTCAGTCAGGAATTGTTTCCTGATGGCATCGTAAAGTGTGTTTGGCGTCCGCAGACGGTTCCAGTCTAGTGGATGGGTGGCGTGTTTTTGTATTCTCGGTCGGTAATTGATGTATGATATGTTAGTGTTTAGATATTCTCGTCTAAATATGCACGCTGTGGGAAGATGTGGGAGAATAGTCAAAGCAGAACGGAAATGTCAGTCTGGAGGAAGCTGTGAATGTACATGGGGTATACCGAAACTCGCTATACTTTTCGGACAAATGCTTGGTGCTGGTCACCCTGTGCACCGGCTTATAGACGATTATTGTCACTCGACGGGATTGTCGCCGTTGAATGCCAAGCAAGGCGCATTAGCAATACCAGTGATAACTAAGTCTGCAAATCAATGTATGAGCTGACGGCCGTCGCAAACGTGACACCAACACAAGGAGCACGGGTGTGATAGCACGCAACGCTGAAAATGATTTGTACGCATACGGCAAGCGCGAGCGCACGCGCTAAGAAACTGATTGATTGTCCTTGCGATATTTCAGCATCTTTAGTGAAGGGCAAATATTGGGGTACTCACTATTGCTACAATATTGTCGGTATCGCCAAGCTGGCTGCCAAGCCTCTCCCGCACGCTAGCAATCTACAGTAAAGCATCATCATTTCAAGTGTTCCGCTGTAATGTCGACATGCTCACGGTTGCTCTGAGCCGTTCAATCTCGTCGTCGCGAGCCTGTATGTCTTCTCTCATATTGACGAAATCTTTTTCAACCCTTTTCTGCGCATTAGATATCTAGCGCAGAACGTCGTACAGTCATGTCAAAGGCTCTGCTATCATGTTGATACACTCACATCTGCTCGAAACTGTGCATACTCCTGTTTTTCGCTCTCCCGACGATCTTCCTTCAGGGCGATACTTTGCGACTTCATGGCCAACAGCTGAAGTGCACATGTGTACATCAGCCGCAAAGGCTCTTCCGCTTTGTCAACGCTTGCGCAGTCCATCTGAGTTGTTGTGAGACGTGGGTATGAACTTCAGCTGCGCGAGGCAGACCTTGCGCTTGAGATCCTTAGGACTATCGTACTCCGGCCCTTCCGCAATGCCGCGCGCAGCCATGTAGATATACAGGGCGATCACATTCTTGAGTACGTCATCCGACTTATCGGCGTGCACCGCAACCGTATAATCGTCCAATGCTTTGTCCACATTTTTGTTGTCAGGGGAGTACTGGTTGTATGCGAGATGTGCAATAAGAGCGGCGTTGAGCTCGTCTAAATTCTCCGTAGAAGGGTCTGTCACCCAATCGTCCACGTACTGATCGGCGAGATAGCGTAGATCTTTTCGGTCGCATACAGGCAGATTTGCAAGGCTTTTCATTCCAGATTGCGTGCACGACTTGGTGTGGACGGTTGCTGATCGTCGCTAATGGAAGTGAACGAAGCGCAAAAGTTGCACCCAGTCATGACGACGCCTTTTATGTATGCAGGGGAGTTACGTACGGTGGGAGTGGAAACATTCTAAAGACTGCGGAAGCTATAGAGTCAGCGAATCCGTGACTGACCCAGATGCGAAAGAGATGCACATGTGAATGGATAGAGGTCAGGGGCTCTAGACAATACACCGGACAACCTGACGACGATGGAACATATGTTCTTAAGTACCGAGTAAGCACATGAACATGCAAGAGGGGTTTTCAACCGTATTGCTAAGATTTGAAGAGACCTCATTCTCGTGCGATATCGCTCCACTGCTCGTAGTGTTTCTGCATCGCAAGTCTGGGAATCCTGGTCTGCAAAGGAAGCCGTGGGAAAACCTCTGACGGGCAGTCTGGTCCAGTAATGGGCTCGTTCCCAAGCGCGTGCTTTGAAAACCGCGAATTAACATATTTCTACGACCGCACCGGGATAGAGTCAAACCGCACCTTACGATACGTTAGACTATATAAGATCGCCGACTCTAATGTATACATCAAGGGTCTCACTTACAGGTGGCAATGTCTGTCAACGGTCCGTGTGCTGAAAGGAATATGCCTTTCGTTCAATAACTGCACAACGAAAAGACCTGATGGCACCCTTTTGGATGCCGAGCTGCTAAAGCCACACTCATACAGGTAAAGCTGGCGCTGGTACTAGTCAAAGATATTGTATATCGTATGTATACCGTATCTAGCAGAACATCTGGCTGTTGGCAAACAAATGCTCGAACTGAGCAGTAAAACGGCGATGTCCCGTACAGGCCCTAGAGCGGCCCCATTCACAAATGGTACTGCCGAGAGTCGAACCAAAAACTCCTGACACCCCAGCAGCGTATAGCGCAACACTGGGAGCTGATGCTGCAACCACTTGTCGGCGTGGGGGAGGGTATAGAAACTTTACGTCACCCGGAACTGCTTTCTGAACTGGGATAGTGCACGCGAACTCCTCAGTTCGAGACTGAGCTCATGGACTTGCATTCTTCTGAGAAGCCGTGTTGCCCAGCTTCGCCACCTCCTTTGACGTAAATCGTGAACTTGAGCTATTGTTGATTATTATGCACAGTAATATCCTACCCCAAAAAAAGCACACTTTCTACCAAACGGACTGCGTTCCTGTACCCAGCAAAGCCCAAGCAACAGGGTGCATACTTCTCCCTAGGCTTCGGAAACAATTTACGTCCAAGATCCACTCCGGCGCGAGTGAGAAATAACGGCAGCGTCCATGTTGAAACGAGCTTATTTGCGCGCTTCTTGACTGCATGAATGTAGTACGTGACTGGACGCCGGTGTGAGCGCAGTGGGCGCAAATAAGTCACCTCACCTGCACGCCCTTCCACGGATACAGCTCCATCCTGCGCGCTCCCTGCTTTCGACGGCTTCTCCGCCCAGCGCGTGATAAGACGAGTGCTCTGCGTAGCTCTTTACTTGTTGGGCGAGTTCAAGACAGCACGGTGTCGCTTTGCCGTGACTGCGCGCATGCGACGGACAGCGCGATCATCACTTCCCGCTGCGGTGACTTGACTGCTGTCAGGAGTCGGAATCGAGCCTTTGGGGCCCTTGCGCTGCCGAACCACTTGTAACGAGTGGTCTGTCTTGATGTACTCGTGAGTCTGATGTAATGAGTCAATGTTGTATGGTATTAGAGGGAAGGCTCCAGAGGCATCACTACTGGAGGAAGATCAGCAGCGAATGTCGCACCAATCTTGGCCACATACTCAACATACACTTCGTCGGTCATAGCGGGTATATTGCATCTAACAGTCATTAATCCAGTGTGCGGCTTGATCGATGTCAAGTTGAACACTCACATATCCGTGCTGGACTGCAGTGTGGACGCGGACACGGCATACGCGAGTTTATTGAGTTGGTCGCGTTGTCCTTCCAACACATCGAGAGCGACTGCCCAGTGCACAATCTGTTGCAGTTGCACTTTGGACAATTCTGTCACATAAAATGAATATGGAGTGATGCAAGATAATGAATGAATAACCACAAACTCTCTTCGTCGTCTGATTCAGCAGATTCAGACCTTGCATAATTTAGGCCACACTGCCGTCGCTGCCATAACCATCCTGGTCTTCAAACACATCCTTGATACGAGCTGGTACCATGGGCGGCATATGCAAGGTCAAATGATACTCGCTCCAAACACTTGACGTTGACACACAGCATACAGGCAATGCTGCTGGCCTGGGAGTATGCTGCGATCGTGCGAAACGAACATGAGACCGGACCAGCGGGCAGCGGGAGTGAGTCTTGCAGCATTAGCGGCGAGATCATATTTATATCCTTCGGATCTTACAATGGAAGCAGTATCTGAACCGGACATAAGTTGACGAAGCTTGACTGCTAGCTCTGAAGCCATATACTGCCAGCCGAGTGCGGTGAGGTCCTTAATACACGCGCGGGCAACACCGAAGGTGAGCTCGCACGGAGTAATTCCGACTAGCCAGGGGTATAAGGGATACTCACCCTTATCTTTGTCACACAGTATAGCGACCATCAGGACACGTTTCTCAGGTAATTGACTAGGCAAGAGCCCACGTTGCTCAGACGACTGACCGTCAATTGCGCGTAGAGGATCTGGCGTTCTGAAGAGTATTTCATCGACTTGATGAACAGTTTCTGTCCGTCGATGACATAGTATGCTCGCAACACATCTCCTATGCGCTCTTCAGTAGTGATTGCCTTGTCACAATAGGCATCTATCAGGCCACCAGGCACAGTGACCAAGACGACAGTGACGGGTCTCAGACGGGCGAGTCTCATGCGACGAGAAGATCGCCTGCGCAGAGTTATTAGACTGCCCGTCAGCCTTGATGACGTCGCGCTTCCACAGAGGGCCGCCATCCTACCAGGCATAATAAAAGTTGCGGTAGCTGACTGTATGAGCCCCGAAGGTGACATTACGGCCACCAGCAAGAAAGTTCGCCCACATTGTCTTTCGACAGTGTGGAGGATCTTCTATCGAAGCTGACGGGATGAGAACAATCAGCGGACTCAATGTAAGGAACTCAAAGGTTGAACGCGTGTCTGGGGTCTGATGGGTCGGGAGGGTATGGAATGATTTGGCCGCGATGAAAGTGTGATTCTTTCCGCGCACCATCGACTGCCATGCTGCAGATGTCGATAACAAAGTTAAACAGACAGGCAAGGGGATGCTCGTGATAAGCAGTGAGATCGCTCGCATTGGCAGCAGCCGGAGGAAGAGGGTGACATCGAGCTCATGACAGATGTTACCCTGCCACGGTACACGGAGTAGGGCATTGCGCGCGCGCAACAGATATGCGTCATCAACTGCACTGCAGCCAGAGAGAGCAGCCTCTAACCAAATGAGCAGTGACACGTCGTACAGTGCACAATAGAACGATATGGTTCAGAGCAGCAAGTACGTATTCTGATATCGTGCATATCTGAACGACTACATTCCATCTAAGATGACTTACCCAATTCACCCGTGCGCGTGCCCCATGGCTTGTCAGTGCGGCAGAGAGCAATCATCATTGAGAAAGTGGCGCACAGCACCATTCGGTGCGCAGGACGACAAGACGCTCGTCGCCCAGACAATGTGCTCGCAAGGAGTAGCCTCTAGGTGCCTCCGACTCATCAAGTATTCAATTGAAGCATCGGCGTTGGGATGTACCTCGCGATGAGCATTGGCAATGAGAAGTACATGCTTGATATGTTCGCGTAGCCCGTGCGAGAGCATTGCTGGAAGCTTTCGGCCTCAGCCGATCCAGGTGGGCGCGTCGAAGGGAGTCAAGTCTTGTCCAGAAATTGCGATCTCAGAGTCTGACATTTTGAATTATTACAAGCTAGTAGGGCAGTTTAGAGCAGAATACACTGGCGTTTGATGTGAACATGTAAGAGGGAACAACTGCAGACATATGTCTGTACAAGCAAGAAAAACACTGTTCATTCTGGGGCCATACGCCGAGCCCGTCGTCACAGACCCTCAGATGGTGGCGGTGCACTCATATACATTGTTGGTAGCCTCGACACTCGCTTTAGCGCGCTGGTGATGGGCCACGTTCGAACCGTGTGCAACCGGCATCGTCCGAGCCTCTTGGCGTGGCGTGCCGTGCCGAAGCGAGATTCGGTCCCCGTACCCCGCTAAGATATCTTGTTCTCACGCTCAGTAAGCGGATGACGACAGAGCCTTGGGCGTCAAACCTTGCTTTCAGTCTCGAACCTTCCTCTGGCTTTTCAGGTGTACTTCATCTGTACGGTCTCAAGGGTTGGACATTGAGTGCAACATGGCCAATACAACGGATGCTCTACCTGTCGAGATCCTCGGGTTCATATTCACCCTAATCGCACTCACCGACCAGATTTCGCTCTGCTTCCACCATCCTGGCCTCTGCTCCCATCACCCCAATGAAACGTATCGGGGCTGGCTATATCTTACGCACCTCTGCCGCCGCTGGCGGCACATCATATTCTCTTGTAAAACCATATGGGCTCGAAGCGTTGGCCGTCTGCCATCCGCCACAGACATCTTTATCGCTCGCGCTTCATCCACAACGCAACTTCACATTCACGTCACGGGCAGGGAACATGTCACCAAGATGTGCAATGTGCTTCTCCAGGAATGTCATCGGGTTACTTCCATCACGGTCAATGGATGCTCCTCCC